TGCCCAAAGCCCCTCCTGAGGACCAGGAGGAGGAGCGGCTCCGCAGCGCCCACCCCCACCTGCTCTGACACCCCCTCCCAACACCCATCTTCATAGACACAGTCGTGCTCCTCAGGGCAGCACGTGCACCAAACTCCCCTGAGGGCGCTCTGCTCAACCCCACGGCGGGACAGGAGAGTCTGCCCACAGCTCCGTCCATGCAGAGCACTGGCCAGGCCGGGCCGAGCTGCAGGCGCGTGTTCGGTCAGAATCACCCTTTCAGAGGCCACGGCCAAGGTGAGTCCCTGCGGTCTGAGCACGGCCTCCCTCCCCGACTCACGGCGCCCGTCTTCTCTCCATGTCTCTTCTCTGAGGTTTTGTTCTCCGTGTTTCTCCCACTCCTGCCTCAAGCGTTCCTCCCTGTGCCCACAGGCAGCCCACTGGGGGGACCCCGCAGGCCAGCTGAGCCCTGGGCGGCCCTCGCCTGGGAACCTGCCAGGAGGACATGGCCGCTGTCACCGCGATGGGGACCACAGATGCTAATTCTGAGCAGCAGCCGGTGCCTCTGGGAAAGTCACTGGGAGCTCGGACTCCCCACTGAGGCAGGTCCCAGCCCCCAAGCCCCCTGAGGCGCCCTGTGGCCCCGGCCCGAGTGTTCTGTCTCGCGGGCGAGGAAGGAACCAGGACGCTGTCCAGAATGTCCTTGGCTCTGACTTCCCCTCGGAGAAGAGCGGGAATCCTCGGACTCTCCCTTCCGCTCAGCTCCCGGCAGGTGTCTCAGTGCCTGGGGTGAACTGCTTTCCCTGCAGGGGACTTAGTGAGCATTTCCAGAGCGGCCTCGGAGTTTCCCATCAAGAGTCGACTCTCGCCTCGTCCACAGCAGTGGTTCTGCTGATGTTCCAGGAAAGGGCAGTGACACCCAGGCGTCAGCCGGCCCAACGGACATAGCCCATGGCCCGTCCCTGGTGGGAATGGAGGGTGTGGCCAACGTGGCCAAGGCTGGGGTGGGGGAGAGGCTGCAGTGAGACCCTTTTTGCCCCTCACCTGGCGGCCGCCTGGCTCCTACCACAGCCCGGCCCCTGGGCCAACGGCCAGGCCTCTGGTCGCAGGATGGCAGCGCTGGCTCTCCAGCTACAGTCAAGGTCAAGCCAAGGGCATGCATCTGGTGGATAGTGAGGACACGGCCCCAATCAGACTGGAATGCCGGTGTGTCCCTGCCCCAGGGTGGTCTTGTCCAACGAAGCCCCTTGCTGGCCTCGGGCTCTGTGTCCACGTCTCCGGCCGGTGGGAGGGTCCCTCGGGGGTCCTTAGGTGTTTTGTCTCCTGGGGCCCGCACAGCGAGGCGCAGCAGGAACCTACGTGAGGGGCCAGAGCTTGATGGCTGAGCTGAGCAGCGTCAGGGACACGTTCCCCTTCTGGCTCCGGCTTCCCTTTCAAGGTGAACACAGGAGGGCTGGGCAGTGCTCACTCCCTGCGACTGGGGTGCGGGATCCCCGCTCTGGGCCTGCACCTGACACGTGTCTTGAAAGCATTCCCTGCCCAGCTGGCGGCTGGGTGCTTGCTCATCACCTCTGCACCAGGAGGTCAGGGCTCGATCCCTAGTGGGGGGCGTGCAGGAGGCAGCCCATCAGTGATTCTCTCTCACTGCTGTTTTCTCTCCCTCCCTCTCCCTCTCTTTCTCAGATCAACAGAAACATGGAGGGAGGGAGGGAGGGAGGGAGGGAGGTTAGTTATGCCTTGATTCCTGGCCAAGTGAGTCAATT